TGCATGCATGCACACACATACATGTATTTCCCCTGACATATACTTTTATTTGAAACTTACCACAATATATGTAATTTTATATACTATATGCCCTAATACTTGCCATTTTTTACAGTATGTGATCTGAGACTTGCATGGTAAAATCTGGAGACTTGCTCAGTTAAAGGGTAGCCCCATGTTGTTCCAGAGTGTATGAATTTGGTGAAGTTATATAAAAATGGAGACCAAATGGAATTCTCCCTGGTACCTACACTGGGAATGTCTACTCAGCTGAAACATATGAAACTCTTACAGGCAGACAGTACTTAAAATGTGGAGGCACTTTCCCATTTGAAAAACTTGCTATGTGGATGTAGCCTTGCAGACTGACTGAAGAATTCTCCTCAGAGTCTCAGTGCAACTTCCTCAAAGAACAAATGCAATGAATGTCTGTTAGAGCAACTCATGATATTTCGGTGCAAATTAGGCATGTTTTTTTTAAAATGCACAGCTCCTTTTTAATAGCAATTTTTCCAACTACACTGCCTTGCTTTATGTACACCAGAGTGCCTCCAGCTAAAGCAAACTCCCCTTGATGCTTCATTTGCAAAGTGGGCTTCGGCTTCTCCCATAGTTCTGCATTACAACAATGTCATCAACGGCAACATCTCTGGGGGAAAGTTTAGACATTGCTAATGTCAATCGGATGCAGAAGACCTTTCCGCTTAATTTCTGCCCTTATAAAGACTTAAATTCTAGCACAGTTTGGCATGCTAGTGCCAAGTTAATGTCTCAGTGTACAAATTAAGTGAGTTGTGCTTGTCTGGAAAAGACTCAGTTATGTGTCAAGTTCCCGGTTTTATAAAAAAGAAATGTCTAAATTGCCTCTCCCTGGTGTTTACAACGTTCTCATGATGGTGGCAGGTAGCCACTAGTTTCAGTTAAAAAAAAGGAAAGAAAGGCACAACTAATTCAATTGCAGAGTCAAACGGTTTAGGCAAGGAACAGAACCTTGATTTTATCTTGTAAAAATTAGTTTGTAACCTAGCGGTTTGAAAGCATGCAAATGCAAGTAGATAAATAGGGACCACCTCAGTGGGAAGGTAACAGTGTTCTGTGTCTAAGTCGCACTGGCCATGTGACCACGGTAGATTGTCTTCGGACAAAACGCTGGCTCTATGGCTTGGAAACGGGGATGAGCACTGCCCCCTAGAGTCGAACACGACTGGACAAAAATTGTCAAGGGGAACCTTTACCTTTACCTTTAATGTTATAACGCGTGTTTTCCTAAAGAGAATATGGCAGGTGGCAGGTTGAATCGGATGGCTTCATGCACAAAGCACCTCCATGTCTTCTTCCATCCCTATATCCACTGGAGAGTGTGTTCCCTTCTTGTCTCTTTGGATTTGCATTTATTCAGCAGGAGAAAGATGGCCGTGTGTGTGCGCTCTAAACAATGCAATCAGGGAAGAGAGGGAGGCTCTGATGAACCTGCTTCAGTGTAGCTCTAATTGGGTATTCTCATGGCAGAGATATATTTGTTTATCCATCAGTTCATGTCAACAGAGAACTCTGGGCACTGAAGTCCAAAATGGAGAGGGGGTGAATCTTAGCATCTCTTCTCACTATACTACAATTCTCAGAGTCTTTGAAGGAAGCTAATGAGGATGAAACTGATTCATGAGATATGAGTTTTTTTAATGTAGATATACACTTGTCTACAACCTGGTGTAAATCAGCTTTACCTTCACACCTTCCTTCAGAGAATGTGAGAATTGTAATATAGTGAAGATGCTAAGATTTCTCTTCTGAATAGATGTACTCTTACATGGGATACCAAGTGTGGTGTGTGGACAGGATAATAAAGTAGGACTCAGGGAACTTTTCAATTCCCCAGCTTAGGCAAGGAAATTCACTGGGGAGCAGAACTGGTAAACCATTCCTTAAACACCTTACCTTGAAAATCCTTTTAGAGTTACTATAAGTCAGTTTTTGACTTGATGACACAACAACAACCCTTACATGAAGGGGTTAGAAGCTTCTTGAAGTGCAGGGACTAAACATGTTCATCCATGAAAATCTGTCCTGCAACCCTTTCCTTTTTATGTTTATTTTTTTTTTTTACAAAAATGAAGACCATTTACAGTATTTTTATTGAAAGAGTCCCTTTGGTTTTCTAGTGGCTCAATTAAAAAAAACTACTGGGGATGGAGTGGAAGTGGTACTTCTCAAAACAGGTAAAATTATTCTGTACTGAGAACAATGGAAAGTTTTGAGTCCAATTTTTTTTCTATGTGTTTAATCATGGTGAGATGGGATAGTGCTGGGGTGCAAATGGCTCCTGGGACATATATTGCATCAAACTGACAGGTGAGAAAGCTAGCACAGTTTGGAAAGTGGCAACCTCATTCCTCCTCCTTCTCCTTTCCTACTGGAGGTTGCTACTCTGACCTTGAATATAGCCCTTTAAAACAATGATGCCGTATTGTGTCCAAAGTAATCCCTACAGTTCTTTAGCCAACAAGATTGTCTCCTTCTTGCGTTTATTTTCTTATTTATTTCATCTTAAATTATTACCTGTAATAACCTATACTTTTAATTACTCAGTACGTGAGCAAAATATTCTAGCAATCTTGTCTTTTAAGTGTTCTACAATTTATTGACCTTTACTCATTCTCCTTGGAATTTCTTCATTGGGCACCCTCTTGGTCCAAAGTTATCTTGGACATGCTTAGATGCTTCAGAATTTCAGAGTTAATGCTGAAAGATGTGTGCACAATTAGCGGCCAACCAAAGTTAATGAAGCTCACCAGCAGACCTTGAAAAGTTTTATTTTTTTGGAATAGAGGTAAAAAGTGTCCGTGTGGGTTGGAGGAGTCTGGATGTTGTAGGTTTAAAAAGAAGCTTTCACTAGATCTGTTCACCAGTCATGCCAAGTAGCACCCCAATGGTTTGCTTCTGTTTACTTCACGCATGGGACTGGAAAGAAAATGGAGGGGTCTTGAGCACTTAATATCAGTAACAGCTTATGTTCAGGGATTATGCAAGGTGCAGACCAGAACAATACCTATAGTGTGTTCTAACATTAATGCCAACTTTATGAAACTAAATTATTTAAGCAGCATCAAGTATTATGGTTGTTGTAGGCTTTTCTTGTAGTGAACACCAGCAATCATTATGTTACACTACACAGGAAAGCCACTGAAATCCACAAACATCAGCAAAGCTTCAACAAAAAAGAAGAAAGTCTAAAGCTCAACAAAGCCTGGCTCCCAGCACTGAAAAATACAGCCTGCAAAAAGGTCAACAAACTCTACCCAGCCACAAGAATCGGTGATCACTGCCCACAAAAGACTAGCTAATAATAACCATCAATCACAGTGACAGATTATATCCCCCCATATCACAACAATACACCCATAAAAAACACCCTGATCACCCAATCTCCTGAAAAGGTTAAAAAGCTGATCCCACAGTTACAAATATTCAACTATCCCACACACTACACCAGAACACAGACAGAGTTCTGACTCTTGTCCTCTGAAGATGCCAGCCACAGAGACTGGTGAAACGTTAGGAAGAAGAACCTCCAGAACACAGCCAAACAGCCCCCCAAAACTGCAACAATCATTGAATCATGGCTGTGAAAGCCTTCAAGAATGCATCAAGTACTATCTTCCAATATTAAGACCAACTGCCAGGCCTCACAACATGTATGTGGTAAAAATATGAAAACAGCATTTAGCACAGACTGTTTCTGGTGTGATTTCTACTTGCCTATGATAAAAAGGAATACCAAACCTGGGTGAGATGATTACATCTTTTACTGAGATAGTAATGAGGGAAAGATTACAAGGCAATTATACCTCACAATGCTATGATTTACTGTCATCACTTGTTATTAATGTCTTTCAAACCTGCAGGGTGTTTTCTTCCATTTTATTGAGATGGCCAGAATTTGTGTCCTTTGAAGGCACAATTAAGCAAAGTAGTATTGCATTTACTGGAGGGGAGTTTAGCAGATACCATATAAACTTGCAGAAAGACAAACAAGAGGCTCCTAGATCAAATCAAGCCTGAACTTTCTCTGGGAGCAGAAATGATGAAATCGAGGCTGTTGTGCATTGACAAAAAAGACTCACTGGAAAAGACAATAATGCTAGGAGAAGTTGAAGACAGCAGGCTAAGCGGAAGACCAAATGTAATATGATTTGACTTGACAAAGGAAGCCAACGGTTGAGCCTGCGAGAGCTGAGCAGAGCTGTTGATAATATAACTTTTGGGAGGTTGTTCATGGCATTCATGGGGTCACCATAAGCTGGAATAAACTTGAAAGCAGGTAACTACAACAGTATTGCATAAACAGAATATTTCTTCTTCAACCTATACAGTAGGACCACTGTACCTGCGGTGTATTGGTTCCAAGCAGGAGATGTCCACTTTCATATGCACTGCAAGGACAGATGGATATAGTCCATTGAGCGTAATGCCAGTGTAATAATAATCATGTACCATCCAGTCAGTTCTGACATGGAGACTCTTCAGAGTTTTCTAGGTATAAAGTAAGAGGTGGTTTACCATTCCCTTATTCTGAAGGCCTCCTGGGACTGTGCGGTTTGCCCAAGGCCACCTAGGCCCATTCTTCTGCGAAAGCACAGTGGGGATTTGATCTCCCAACCTCTAGCTTCTCAGCCAGATACCTAACTCACTGAGCTATCCAGCCAGCATACCTTTAAGCTATTCCTAGGCCAGTATTCACTATAACGGATGGTCTGTGGGAAAAAACTCACATTCACCAAATGAAAAGCTTTGCTAAAGGGGAGAAAATTCTGTGCTGGAAAAGCTCTTGCTCTTTCCATATAACTGTATCTCCCAGAACCCTTGGGACACATTTTTTTAGAGCTGACATCTCATACTGTACATATACATGCATTAAATCTCAGGCTGTTTTCACAAGTGATGCTTAAATTACTTTTAATATTTCCCAAGTCAATAATGTAAAAAATGAAACATGTCAGCCAGCAGGTACATTCATTTTTTAAAAAATAATCTCTCTTTTGTTTTGTATCACTTCTTTATATGACAATGAATAGACTAAAAGGTATACTGTGTATACTGAGTATTCTTTTTCTCTGTGTTTTGCCGTTTTGATACCATGTATGTCAATGTTCTTCCTGGGAGAAATCCAAGAAGCGCCTGGCTTCAGAGTGAATGAAAGCTTGTGCGTCATATCCAAGTTCTCCAGAACAGACCCTTCCAAATCCTTTGATGGCAACCATGCAGGCTTGCTTTAAAAGATACTAGTACTTTCCCCACTTGAGTGATGCAGAGGCAGGGACCGTGGGGACTGAAGGAAGACAGCAGCCCGAAGTCTTCTTATTTTCAGAGAACCGGGATCTGGATGGTTTAATCAAAGGAGGCAGCATCGGCTTTCTGGTTCGGGTGAGTGGCTTCTTCCTGTCTTTGGCTTGGGGTTCTTCTACAGTCTCTTCCTCTAACTCCGGGAAGGTCAGCTGCATAGACTTCAAGTCAGACTCCGTGGTGCAAACAAGCCCTTTGCTAACCATCCGTGAAGTCATGGGTAAGTTGCTGGGCAAGGTTAAAGTCTCCATCTCCTAGAAGGGATATGGGAGGGAGAGACCATGATCACAGAAGACACCCTTGAAGAGATGAGCATAATGAAGGACACAGAGGCCAGAATCCCATCGATGACCTACACACGAGTAATTTAAACTGCAAAATGTATGGTGCCAGTCATGTAGCAAGTTGTGCACTAGGCATGACATTTTCGGATTTTGTTTTCACTACAACTACCACAGCTTATCAGGAATTCCCTCTGCCAGACGTCTGGCAACTGTAAGCCAAAAAAAAAAAACAAACAAACAAACAAACAAAAAAAAAAACCCAGAACAGAACAAAGATGTTCCCCCTCCCCCAATCCAAGTGCTCAGAGCAACTACCACAGCTTGCTAGGAATTTCCCCTGCCAGATGTCTGGCAACTGTAAGCAAAAAAACAAAAACAGAACAGAACAAAAACGTTCCCCCTCCCCCAATCCAAGTGCTCAGAGGAGTTTCAACACACACACACCTGAGAGCCAGCATGTTCTTCTCTGCAGCCACGGCAGGGGGAGAAAATGGGTGGGAGCTACAAGAGATGGTGGAATCTGTAGTTTTTTGAGAGCCACCATATAAAGAGCCTAATAAGCAGAGAGACTACCAGTCTCATAGTCCCTTACAGTTGCCATGGAGCTGAGGAAGTCCCACATACTCTTTCTCTCTGCAGTGGCTGCAGAGGACAACCTACTGGGCTTCAGGTTTGTGTGCTGAAACTCCCCTGAAGACTTGGATTTTTTGGTTATCAGTACCTGAATTTTGACCAAACTCTGGGAGGCAGTGGAAAACAGGAGGGTCCATGGGGTCACGAAGACTCGGATACAACTAAACAACAACTACAACCAGAATTTTGGCTATGGAAATTCCTGGTGAATTGTGGTAGTTGTAGTGAGTGAGTGGGGGGATCTGAAAATCAGGTACCTAGTGTGCAACTAATAGTGTAACGTGTATGCCTAGTAATGTGTCTGATGCCTCATCAGTTAGCAGTAATGCACTGCAGTGAGTTACACAATTTAATTTCTGCACACATAAGGCACTAGCAGGATGCTTGCCACTCTCATCATTACACATGGGAACATTCGGCTGGAAATGAAGTACAACATTCTTGAGTGACATAAAGGGTTTGATCAAATGTGCTAAAAAGAACCCCAGTTATATTGATTCTGCTGTTATTAAAATCATTTTATAAATTTCTGTTCCCATGACGCATGGGTAAGATCAATTCATTTGGCCAGCTGATCAGATTTCCCCCCCTCACTGAAAGGGTTGTTTTAAAATGTCCCAGTCATGTATTGTTTCATTGCTTATTGCTTCAGCATGTGTGAACGCTGCTGTCAATTGAGTTACTTTGCGAAGATGACATATACCACCAGGGTGCACGGACTAACAGTGCACTTGACTAACAGTTGGAAGTGACAGGAATAATAGCAATATATTATTTAGGATTCATTTTTAAAAAGAATATTTTGGGGCAGCAAGGACCACAAAATCAGGATGGCAGATGAATAGATTTATATGAAATAGCATGTGCAGGCTACAGAATCGGTACAAATAGCAAGAAATGTACTGATTGAACTGACAACCATGTGAATGGGCCCAGCAGTATTTATACCACGTGACTACATCTAAATATGTATTGATTCCAGGAATAGATGAATTGGATCAGTATAACTAGGGTTCTTTTGGCATATGTGATTGAGCCTCAACAGATGATTTAGGACCTGATTAGATGTGATACGGTTGCATAAATGCATGCTTTTTGTTATGTAAATAGCAGCTTTGCAGAGGTAATGGAGGGGAGCAGCTATGACAGACAGGGAGTGAAATAATCCAACTTTTCCTCCCCAGTCCATCACCCCAAGGCTGCTCAGCCTCCACTGTGGCTACTATTTAACTAAGAAGGGGGAAATGGACGGTGTTCAGACAGTATCACAGACAGCTCAACCCTTTGTCAAGAAAGATCACAAACCTTTATGTGCATGTGGAGCCAAAGAAGAGACTTACTGCCCTCCAACTAAATGTATTTTTATAAACTTCTGTCCAGTTGTTGGCTCACTTCTGCCCATCGGCACTCCAAAGAGAAATCTACCTTATGTGGTGTAACCATGACATAGCAAACTCATGGGGGCCTCATTATAGTTAAGTGACCAAATATGGACCTCTCTTGTATACAGGATTCTTTCCTAGTTCCTTCTGCTTCAAGATGCTCTGTCACAGTCCGATTGCTGGGATCTGCAAGCACACCTTGCATCCTGTTATAAACATCCAGGTAGACAATCTGTGGTTCCCCACAGATTGTTGAATTGCCCTTCCGTCGTAGGCAATGCCTCATCTCAGCAATGGTGATGAATGTTGGGCGTTGCAAACCCCTCTTTGTCCGTCCCCCTCCCGGTGTGTGTAATTAAACATGTAAACTGAGGCAGAACTGTCCAGGGTAGACAGAGGTGAACAGACAGAGCCACTTGGAAGAGAACACAACCGAAGGGACCCAACCTACATCAGGGTGTCAGTGTCCTACGCACCGTAGTTGCCAGAGCATGAAAAGCTGAACAGGCTGTCCCAAACTGGTTGACTTTTTCGGTATTAATTTCTCCAAATACCTGCCGACGAATTTTCCGCCTTGCTATTCTTTTCAGGAGTCCTTCTTCCAGATTGTGCTTGAAAAGGCTCTGGTACATTGAAATTAAAAAAAAATAAAGAAGAAGAAGAAGAAGCTGTCATATTTGTAGCATTAAAGCCTCTTGTTCAACTCCTGTGGCCAGCAAGAGATTTGTCAGAGGCAGAAGGAACCCTCTTTCACAGATGTAGCAGGAGAAATGGTGGAATGTGGAGCAGGACTCGTCCTGAGTGAACAAAGCAGCCTACTAAGCAGCACCGCATAAATAAGTAAAAGGATCATATTGTCATTGAACACTAGTTCAAACAAAAATAAATCATACTTGTTTTAAAAAAGATGGAACTGGTAGAGTGGGCGGCATATAAATTAAATAAATAAATAAATAAATAAATAAATAAATAAATAAATAAATCTTATGGTGCAAAAAATACGGTATATTATTGGACACTATTGTATCAGAGTATAGTTTGTTCAGGGAAGGCCTCTATCTATCTTCTATGCAATGTCATGCTACAATTTCTTTTCACTTAAAACGTGAGGGAAGGGATAGCATTCAAGAAAACCAAGCCCACAGCTTTTCTCAACATATGGAACTATGTGTGCAGTTATTTCAGTCAAGCCTGTTTACATGCAATCCAGTTGCTTGATCACGTTCAGTTCTCTTAACCAACCACTAATCCAATCCCACTGAGCCCCTTGATCTTCAAGTGAATCAGAACCTATACTGGTGTGTGTGTGTGTGTGTGTCAATTCAAGGTCATGGATGGCTCCATGTTGTTGTTACCTCGTGCTTCCTTTGTATTAGGGGTGGTGTTGCCACCCGGCTTTGTGTTGTGTCTTCTGGAAGGGTTGAACAGGAAGACGATTGTTGAGGCTGATCAATTCTGGGTAGCTGAGGCTCTGGGGAAAGAAAGTAAATTGAGATGTGTCATGAGGCTTTTAGATAAATTTTGCGGCTCACATGTCCATCAGATTTGCTTAGCAGATATTTCTGTGGATATTGAACAGCTTTTGAGGAAAAGATGTCAATCAGCAGACAACTCTTAGGGATATAATGGCTACCTTGCTGCCTCCCCAGCATCAGTCTTTCATTATGAGTTCACTCAACGATTGGCTTTCACTCTGTCAGAGTTGATAGTAAAGAGCGCTCACTCTTGTCCATGATACATGAGATCTCTGTGGGCCTGAATACTATGGGGCATGTTCTTCCCTCTTGCTACCATACTTTGATAGCTGCCATGCTCTCCATATAACAAATGCCAGCAGGAGCTCTGGGATGAAGTTTGAAAGAAAGCTGGACATACTTTTCTCTCAGTGCCCATAACCATGGTGTACTCAAATCTGCTCACTAAGTATTAAAATCATACAGCTGAAAACTCCCAGAGGTCATCTGGAGCAATTCTCTGCCCTAGGCAGAACTATGTGGACACAATTATACGGCCATGTAGCGTCTGCTTAAATATCTCCACAGGGGAATGCAGCCACTCCCAAGGTTGAATGTTCCTCTGTTGAACTCAGCACTAAGGATGTGACTACCTCAGTGGTTCCCAAGCTTGGGTTGCCAGATGTTCTTGGACTAAAATTCCCAGAAGCCTTCACCACCAGCTGTGCTGGCCAAGATTTCAAGCTGCAGTCCAAGAACATATGGGGACCCAAGATTGGAAACAAATGGACAAGATGGAGAGGAAAAGGCTAGGGAGTTCAGGTATTTTAGATTTAAGTGGCCACAGTTCTACTAACAGCCCTGCAGGTGGTGCCATTCAAAGAACTGCAATAATAGGTAATGAGACAGGCTTTTTTGTTTTCATTGCCAGCTTCCAACACAGGGTTTTGCCTTGGCAAGTGGTTAATTTTATATATATCTATATTAGAGTTGGGGGTATCCTTTCAGGTCAGTTTAAGCAGCATTTGAGTGCTTGAATCAATGCAGAAAGGGAAGACAAGATATTGATGTGCTGTCACTCAAATCACCTTCCCCCTTGCCTTTTGCTTTCTATCTCTTTAAGATATGGACATACATAAAGACATAGGGCAACACACACTCTGCCCAGCAAAAGCCTGTCTCCCAGGACTCTTCTTTATTTTTATTTATTCTTAAGCTTCTCCTCCAGCATAACACTGCTTTTTATTATATACACTGCTGTTATTTTATGCTCCTGTATGTGTGTGTGTGTACGTATAGAGATATAGAGTACATATAGATTACAGATGGCGCTATTTGTATAGAAATGTGAATAGCCCCACACAGGTGGAGATAACGAGGCACACATAAAGACACAGGGCAACACACACTCTGCTCAGCAAAAGCCTGTCTCCCAGGACTCTTCTTTATTTTTATTTATTCTTAAGCTTCTCCTCCAGCATAACACTGCTTTTTATTATATACACTGCTGTTATTTTATGCTCCTGTATGTGTGTGTGTGTACGTATAGAGATATAGAGTACATATAGATTACAGATGGCGCTATTTGTATAGAAATGTGAATAGCCCCACACAGGTGGAGATAACGAGGGTCTGGCCCCATGGGGCCAGACGGTCCACTCACTGATGCGCTAATGCTGCAGGGTCTGCACTCCCTGTCCTATCACTCTGCAGGTAGCGATCACCAAGCCACTCCTGGTAGGAGGCGGGACGACAAGCTTCTCTGCCAGGTCGAAGCACTCCTGTCCTATCACTCTGCAGGTCGCGATCACCAAGCCACTCCTGGTAGCAGGCGGGACGACAAGCCTCTCTGCCAGGTCGAAGAGTGGCTCAATGATCGCAATCTCCAGAGGCGGGGGACTCTAGGGTGATGCACATTTCCTGTTGTGTTGTCTGATTGAGGGGAAAAAAATACAAATCAGGCTTCCAAAAGCCAGTAGTATTTTCCATGGGTTTTGGTAACATGGTCGCCCCCTTACTGCTAGGATGTTTCTCCAACACTTTAGCAGGTATCAGCCTCCCTACAATGTCTACCATTGGTCCCTTCAACGTAAATGACTCGACTAGCTAAACTTATTCTTTCACTCATAGGTTGCTGAGTTATTAAAACTAAGGGAATTTCCTGTAACATTTTCCTTTTGGAGTTGTGAAGGAATAATTAATTACAGTATGTTCTCCTAAAGAACATAATAAATGCTAACACAGAAACTTTAAAAAATTTTTTGTTGGTGTTATGACTGATCTTTGCTCATGACTTCGTAATGCTTTGTTTTGAAAATGGGTCAGTTCTGGGGAGTTTTTGGCTGCTTGTTCATTTATATATATATATATTTTTTACGTTTTAAAAATACTGTAGTTAATTTCCATGGGGTAGCCACTTCTGTTGCAACCAAAGCAATAGTGACAGACAGCGAAGCAAGACAAAGCCAAGCTTCCCATAAAGGATCCTGTAGCACTTTAACAAGTTTTATTTGGCCTAAGTCTTCATGGAATATAGCTTACTTCATCTGATTCATCCGTTTCCTCTGAGGAAATGGGCTGCAATCTGAGAAAGCTTGTGCCAAAGGTGCCAAAAGGTTCTTTGCTGCTTTGCCTCACACAGAGACTGATTTTGCAGTCAAAGACATTGTGCCACCTTAAACACTAATTGCTATAGTTTAATGTGAGCTTTTGTGAACTATATTTTAATGTGAGCACAGGCTAACACTGCTACCTCTTCTAAAGCCGATTCTGCAGTGTTGCCAGGGATTTTCCTACCACTGGTACCAAAGATGGGGATAAAACATGGCCACTATACTATCTGATGGCTTGGGTGTGGACAGTGAACCGTTACTCACAGCAGCAGCCCATTATGTAGCTTATGAGGAAATTTTTTAAAAAGGAAGAATCCCACCTCTTTATTATATTGATTAATGTTTCTGGGAACTGAAGAACATTCCTCATGCTAGCTGACTTCTGGGAGATCATTATATTTGATGCAGGTGGGAAATTATTCACCCACCGCAGCAGGCGTTAATATTGATTCCAGCTGTTATCAGCCTAATTAAGGAAAGAAAAAATTGCCTGCGTCCAACACTTAGACAAATCCGCTTAGCAATTTAATATCCTCTCTCCTGCATTCACTGCCAAATAGGAGCGTTCTCTTGGTTCTATCTACTGCCTGTCACTGTTCACTTACATTAACTGGCATAACATGCAGTAGACTTAAGGGATCCGTACTGCAATTAAACATAGATAATCTGCCCCTCGTTTCCTCAGCCTTAGATCTATAAAGGTCATTTGATCACCAATGCCCCTGAAGCTCTATTCTGGATAATGGGTTGCAATACACCCTTCACTGTTTCAATCCTCTTCTGCACATCTGAATTTTGAGCCCAGTTCGACAAGGCTTTATTTTATCCCAAGGTTTGAGACTTTGCCCCTGCTGACCTTTCTCTAGTCTCTAACGCTCGCTTAACTGTCAACAGTGCAGGGACATTTCGCTGCCTCAGATGGAGAAGAAGATGGTGTCCTCTTCCATTCCATGCTTGAATACCAACTGGATTGCCAGTTTAAACTTACTTCAGTGTGGGCAAAAAGCAGTATCTTCAGCTAGTTTAGGAGATGAGATGCTGGGCAAACCATACAGTATGCACATCTCAGTCCATTACTCACCAGCGCTTCTGATGGCCCATATCTGCCAACAGAAGCATCGGTACCTCATTCTGCTGAATGCTTTAATCTGGGAAGTGCTCACAACTAGGCCTCCACCTGGCAAATGAGGCCACCACTGAGTCCTTGGAGGAGCAAGGGCTTGAAGGTGGGGCTTCCGATGGGACAATAGTAACCTTGTAGGGCCAGGTAGTTACTATTGTTCCTATTGAGTCTTAACAACAAAATGATGCCAGCAGAGAGCCTCTGGATCTCACTGCCACTGAGAAAAGATCATTCAAGGAAGGGGAAAGGGTGTTGGGGGGGATTTGTAGGGTCTGTATGCTGGAATGAGGAGGTCTCTAGAGAGCTCATGGGCCAGGCAACCAGGGTGGATTTGACTGAAATCAAAACTGATTTAAATCACAGCTTAAATTTTTTTTAAATGATTTTTGGGAGGTGATTTAAATCAATGAATTGTTTAAAATTTAAATTATGATTTGAATCAAATTAATTTAAAAGAATCATTGGTTTTTCTCCACCTTGAAGGCAACCTTATCTTCCACTCTCCTCTGAATTTTAGACTGGGAAGTAATTATATTTGCCGAAAAGTATTTATTTCCAATTTATCTGGTAAATCCTTCTAGTCAATCTGATTTACATCTGGGGGAGCTAAATTAAAATGCAACGACAAAGGAGCCAAAAACGCTATCATGTTTTCAAGAGTCAGGCACAGAATATTAGGGAGACAATGGATGTAAATACCATACCATGGAAAGGTTCAGACTCATGCATAAGTCACCGAATTGTCCTTATTCGTTCAAGGCATATCAATGAGCTACGAGATGAGACAAGGTCATGAAATAAATGAATGGAAGGTGAACTGAGGACACCTGTGTTCATTTTTATCGGGAATCCTTCCAGGATCACACATTGCAGTTACAACTGACCCTGTTCTTCTTGGCTGACCTTAAAGAACTCTTAAATTAGTTACTCCTTCATTTCGGCCCCAAGTACTTACAAGTTACAGTACTTTTTTTTCACATTACAGAGATTGATAGAAGAAGCCCTAGTAATGGAAAGGAAAGGGGGGAAAAAGGAGGGTCTGTTTCTTTACCTGGAGGAACTCTGCTTATACAGCTGTAGCACAAACACACCTTCTCACAAAAACAGGGTTATATCAGGCCAACACACAAATTCTGCACCATCTCAGTGATCCACAGATGTAATTACTTCCAAGAAAATTACAGTTCTCTACCTTCTTACTTGCCATATTAACAGAAGAAGTTAGCAGACCCCAAAAATGATCAAGATTTCAAACTGTATTTCAATTTTTATTTATTTAAAA